TTTTTTTTTTTTTTTTTTTTTTTTTTTTATGAACAGCTGAGACTGTTTACTTTTCAGCAGTTTAAGCTCTCATGTTTCTTTGTTTTTTCAGAATACTCATACCTCCTGTAAGCACTAAATAAATCTCTCCAAAGCAAATAGTATCTTTCTTGTTGTCAGCACCCAGATTCCTCTTTACATCTTGATTTATTTTACCTTTGAAGATAAACAGTGACGCGTTGTCTACATCAGGGATCGGCAACATTACGGGGCATTATTGGGTCAAAAACACCCACAACGTCAACTTGTAAGATGTTGGTGTCAGGGGCCGATGGTGGGGGAACTGCGAGGGAGCAATCCTTGTTGTGGCACTGCATACCTGGCCTGTTCCCCTCTGTTCACCCAAAGGCATGTGCGCCAAGCAAAATGCTTTCATGTGCTGTGCCCTGGCACCCATGCTGGGGGTTGCCTACCCATGGTCTACATAGGCATAAGTAATAAGCAACACAGTTTTAGTGCTCATTCTAGTTCTTGTGACCCTTAATCATTTGTTTAACACACACCAACTATATTGTGAGTTAAGTGTACTGTTTCTCTCTTTACATGGCCTCATCTGTTAACTGGCTGTCCTGAAATACAGCTTGAAAATAGTGGTGCCACATGTCTGTGTAAACACTAGAAACATAAGATCTCCCACAGGCCCATAGAAAAAACTAGAAAAGCCCATTCATTTCTAGTATGTTGCCGATGTCTCTGAAATTAGTGAAACTGCATACATCAGATTTGCTAACCTGAAAACTCAACAGAAATAGATGTGCAAAATATTTCTTAAGGCCCTGTTACACATTCAGATTAAAGCTGGATAGAAACTAGCTGTTGAATTGTTACATATTTTCAAGCACTAACTTTGTATCTGATGGACTCTTTTTTTTATAACTGTATAGTCATTTTTCTCAAGTGATAATTGCTTTGCACATGTGACCTATCCAGATGTATTGTGTGGTTTACCAGTTAATTGCATAATATATGTAACTTGTAGCACGGGCCAAATGTGCACACAGACTTTTGTGATCTAAACTGGTCTTCGTGGAATTTATTTACAGTCCTTTTTTTGCTCTGTATGAGAAACTGTTACATTTAGAGCTTTACATGCTTTAGTATAATGGCCAAAATTCTTTTACCTTTAAAAATCCATAAAATGTACAAATAGGAAATACTGCCCTCCTGCACCCAGTTGTATATATTAATTGAACCACAAAATATGGGAATTTAATTATATTCCCCTCTCCCTGAAAAACTCTTCCACTTCAGGCTTTTCAGACTTTAAATTGAGCATGTCGTGATTGGTATGCCAGAGGTTCCTTCAGCTGAAAGGGACAGTAGGTTGCAAAAAAAGGTTTTTCAGAAAAATACTGTCCACCAGCCAGGGATAGTTTGGACATCTCTGTAGATGAGAACATGGTAGAATTGTACTAGGAGAGGGACATTGGCACCATTTGAAAAAAGAGTGTCCTGGGCTAGCTCAGATTTTAAATAAAAACTATAAACTGCAAGTGAAAGCTAACAAGCTTAGGGGGACTGATTAAATGTGCTCTTGGCAAATTACAGGTGGCCACAGTTTATTAGCTTAAGTTCTGAAAGGGTCTTAATGCTCTTTTTTCAGAGTTACACTTAAGAAATATGTGACTGATTTCTCGTCTTGAAATTGTTCCTACTTTTAAAAAAACAAAACAAAACCCTTTTTTAAGGTGGTTCAATCTTTCTTATAAGTTGGCAATATTTATCTTTTAATTGGGAGGGTAATGCAAAATCTTGAAATATGTTGTTCTAACTTGGTATGAAATGTATTTATTTATTAAGAGTCTTCCACCCAAGACTGCATGGAAGAGAAGTCTTTTTTTTGCCGCATCAGGTAAGATCACATGATGAAATTAGACTTGATGGAGATTTCAGAATCATGCACCTCTAAAAGAATTTAGTTTTTTTTAAATAGTATACAGGTACTTAATTCACAGTCTGTGCTTTTGTTATGAACTTGAGAATTTTATATTTGTCTTCTGATTATCTGATTTGCTCCTAGGGATTGTTAACTTATAAGAAGGACCTGCAAAGCCAATTTAGGCAATAGTATCTTGAACGATGCTTAGTTTGGAGTTAGATCTTTGCACATGGATACTAATAAAATTGATCCTCTTGAAGTTTTTTTAGGACAATTCCACCAATTTAATTCATTAAACATTTTTAAGTTCCTTCCAGTAAATTTCTGCAACTACTTTGCTTTCCTTTATAGAAAATGCTGTTCAGTGCAAGTTGTTATTTTTACCTATTCTTTACAGTGAGATTAAAGGCCCCATTGCTGTAGACAGCATACAAACAGTTAAAAAGAACATGGGTTGTCCCCAAAAGTTCATAACGCAGGTGACAGGAAGCAACTGGTGGATGAATCAGACAAGTGAAGAGACATGGAGATAAATGGAAAAAGGGTTTCAATAAGTCAAACAAAGTTTAGAAACCCCAAGCCAGTGCTATGTGTTCTGCCAGTTTGTATGTAGAAGTGGCAAGGCAGTCCAAAACTGCTTTTTCTCTCAGGCTTTAACCTTCTGATGTCTTGCATTAAGTAGTGTACTCCTCTGTTCTTCATGTATGTTCAGTTTCTACTTTCCTGGGCCCTTGTGGAAGGTTTTCCTTTTTAATAGTGGATCTCTCTCTGGGGCCCTGTCTTCAGGCTTTGTCGTCGTCTTTTTGCCCCATCCCCCATACACAGGAACTGCAAAAGAAGCACAAAGCGAAATCCAGAAGTTTGTATTCTATTTGTGCTGACCACGTATAGCTTACCATAGAGCAGAACTGTGCCAGCTATGTACCTGGTACATAGAACCTCACTATGAGAAAATAGGGGTATTCTTGATGAGCATATGTTTCACTCACTGAATTCTACTGCTCTAGCCAGACAAGGAGCAGAACATGCCCCCTTGAGAATCCTCACATTGCGCAGCAGAGAAACCCAGGCTGACACTAAACAGTGTGGGTCAGCCAGTCAGAGCTGCCTTGTTCACTGCTGCTATCTGTCTTCAGGCAGACTGAGGGAGCCTGTAGAGCACTCTTATAGGTGTGCACAGGACCCCCTTGACTTTTCAGTGATGGCACTGGAAGCTCAGCTCTTCAGGGACACAGCTTTAGGATATCTGTTCAGGTGTCTGGGTAAGATTTTCTACCACATAAACAAACCTGGGAGAATTCTCCCGGATCATTTACTGTTTATCAGGGCAAACTTTTATTTTAAATAAATTGATATAGGACAATTAACTTTAGTTTAGTTTGGTGTCCAACAGTCCCATTCAGGATGGGGTCCCAGTCTTCAGACAAGAAGACACAAGATGGGGTTTTTTTTACAGTGCCTTTAAAAGAAGAAATGCACCATTTAAAATGCTGTCCTTAGTCTTTGCTGTAATGATCTTATTGAAGACTTGAATTTAGAGTTCATGACATAACAAAGAATTCATGAGTCTATATTATAATTATATCAGTGCAGGAAAAGAGCATGAAAATGAGATCTGCTACCACCCATTTCGTATGACTCCTTACCTTATCAAAGTACAAGATGCAGAGAATGCAGAAGACCAGCTTTGCTGTGTGCTACTTGCAGAAAAGGTGCACTCTGGTTATGAAGGTAATAAAATGCAGACACCACAATTGGGTCTGCTTAATTAAAAATAAAAAATATTCAGCTATTACAGAAGGTTGTATGTAATGTAATGAGAAAAAACTTTCAGTTCATTAAGAAGAATGAGGCAACCAGCTCAGGAGTTAGCACCAGTCTTTTATATGCCAAATGTGATGGATGACCAGTGGTGCTGTATCCCTGGGAGGCTTCAGGTGAAGGAGAGTCAGTTAGCCATGCTAAAAAATGCCCTCTCTCTGGTTAAGAACTTAATCACACTGATGGAAAGCACCATGTATTTTGAACTGATAGAAATCTGAAAATTACATGTCAATTTTATCTTTATTTTTCTTTTAGCACCCAGAATTCCTCCTGATAAAAGAATTTTTACAACTACGCACACCCCAAGTTGTTTGTTCCAGGATGTGGATGAAAGGTAAACTACCAAATTTACTACCTTTCTGGGAATGATTGGTGTATTTATTTGTCCTAAAACAATGTATCCAAAACTACACAGCAATTTTAGTACTTATACAATGATCTCCTGTCACTGTGAAACCATAATTGTGTGTGCTTTGTGATACAGACTTTTTGCTATTCTTAAAATGAATATAACTAAGAAAAATGAGTGGAAAGTCATCAAATTAACTGACTAATTTTGATTCATTCCATATTACAATAGAAATCAAAGCAAGTTTGTCAATAGTTAACTTATTATGCCTAAAACCAGAAAATGTACTTCCCAGTCACCTTGGGTAGCTTCAGACTGACTAGGCTTTTCACTCTACAAATGTAGCAGATCACTAGAAGAGTCCTAAGGTCATAAAGTGTTACATAAAACATTTAACTTAATTGAACTGGGTTGGAGAATTCAAAATGCACTCCATGTAGGTCCTGAGAACTGTAAATCTATTCTTTACTTGTCATTTTGAGCCCTTATCAGTAGAGCTTGCAAAAGAACCACGTGGTTTGCCTTTCATGTTTTGTTCTAGAATTTTGCAGTTTAAACTAAAATTTCTGTAGATGCATTTCTGCTGTCTGGGCTGGAAGGGACTGCTCTAAAGCATTTTGAAAACTGGAAGGGGAAAATTTGAGGAATATAGACCCTGTTTAGAGTAATTATACAAATGCCAGAGCAGAATTGTGGTGACAACAGGCCATCAAGCTGGATCTTATGGCTCTGTCTGAAACATGCATGGTTGCACACACAGCAGCAACATGTCAGGTAAAGACTAAATGAAACTCTTTACCAGAGATAGTAAATGGGGTGTGCAGACCTTTGAAGCTTGAAAGTTGCACTATAGTGTTTCTTTGGTAGCACATAGGTGAAAGAGACTGTTTTATGTGAAGAAGTTTCTCTAGAGGTGACATATCTTCCTTTCTGATGTTGAGGTCTTTGAAGGGGGAATCCCTCTCAGATGGGATAACAGTAGTCTTTGCCAAAGAAGCTCTTTCACCATAAATTATTTAGTACACAGAACACGGATTGTTCAGGTTCATGGGTCAGATAAGAACATTAAAGCTTGGCTACTTTGAAAAGTAGGAGCTTTGTCAGTGAGGTAATATTTTGGCTTTTCTATCTTTGTAGTGCTGACCTAACTTTAGGAATGTTTTTTTTCTTCATGGACTACTTGCTGCAATTTTCTTTAGATGCAGCCATAAAAGTAAAGGAACAGAGGTGCAAAAGAGGATTGTTTGTAGTAGATCAAAAGTGTCGCCAGTAAAATAAAGAAGTAAACCAGTGTGCTGGTAGAAACAGAGCTTTAGGTGGGGTGGGTTTATCTTGGTAGTGGCACTCAATCTGTTGTTTGTAAAGAAGAAGACAAATGTTAATGAGGACTAGAAAACCTTCATGCTGAAGAATGATGCACACTTGACTGATGTTCTATGCAGATATTATGCATGATACTGTGACATTGAAAATGGTTAGTGTTGGCTACAGAGAAGTCTCATTACTGAGCTTTTGTAAAGCAAAGCTTGACTAACTGCACCTCATCCTGGTATGTTAGCCTTTATTACTAGGGGTGCACCAATGCATTGATCTGATACTGGACTGGCACCAATATAAAGAAAATTGGCTGTATTGGAAATTGGCCCAGTGCCACCGATAATTTGGCCGATTAAATGCCTATGCATGCGCACAGCCTCAGCACAGCACACAGGCAGTGAGGTGCACGGCCCAGCAGCTTGAAGAGCTGCGTGCAGTTGGTAAGTCTGTTGCTCTGTGTATAGTTGAGAATGGAAGTTAAAAAGAAGAGAACAACTGTTCCCTTGAGCCTGGAATGCACAGTTCCAAAGGTTGCTTCCAGGAGCTAAATTTAAAAGGTGAGAGAGAAGCACAAAGATTTAATTATTTCCTGGGATTGTGGTGTAGCTACTTCCCTTTTCTCCCTAGATAGAGCTGTGAGATGGTCGAATTGAAATGAAACAAGACTTGTCTTTCTTGAACAGTGCTTTCCCACAGTTTGGAGCAGATATTGATCCCTAGTTTTTAGGACTTCCTATCTGAGCAACTTGATTATATATCATGCACATTTAACTGAATTCTCGCTACTTGCAGGAGCACCAGCATTTTCCCAGCTGAGTCGCATGAACACTTTGGGCAACATACACATGCAGTATATTATTCCTGGGCTCTTAAGGGTTAAGTGAAATATATAAAGCAATCTCTATTATAGTAATAAAGCTGTTAAGCTTTAGTATGCAAGTCAATATCCATAATGGGAGGTTGCTAGGAGCTGAACATTGTTCGCAATGTACCATTGAAACTATGAACAGGCTTGTACCATGTAATCAAAGCATATCCTGCACTGCATGTACCATGCAGAATTGGTAATTGTCTTAATTACACAAGTGGTTCAACATATTGGGTTAAAAAAAAAAAGGCATTTCCTTGTACACAAGAGTAATGACGTCTGTTCTTATAATTACATGATTCTCAAGAGGTGTGATCTCTGCATATGAATTTCAACATACTGGGCACATCTACACAAGCCTCCCACTGAGCAAGTATTACTGCACAGTCATTTAGTATTTGCATAACCAAGTACTAAATGACTATGCAGTAACTGACGTTACTGTGTAGTAGCACCCCAACGTGGTTGCGTACTGATGCTTACTGCAAAGTAGCTCATTACTACTGCGCAGGAGCATCGTGTCACAGTTTGTGCCTGGTGATGCTAAAGTAGCACTAAGTGTCTTATGTAGATGCGGCCACTGAGCGCTATCTTCTTTTCTTCAGGGGGAAAGTGGGGAATTGAGGCCCCCATATGGAAGGAAGGAGTGAGTAGGGCAGGGCTGGGGCTGCTGCCCAGCTGGGGG